TGTTTACCATCTTCCAAAAATTTTATGCTGAGATTTGCAACCAATTTGGTGTTCACATTAAAATTTTTCGTCCTGATAATGGCCGTGAATATTTCTCTTCATCATTTCAAGAATACTTGGAACAACATGGCATTATACATCAGACCTCATGTACCTGGGTGGCTGAGAGAAAGAATCGTCATCTTTTGGAAACAGCTCGATCCCTCATGCATCACATGAATGTTCTCAAACCCTTTTGGAGTGATGTGGTGCTTACTTCTTGCTTCTTGATTAATCGGATGCCCACGTCTATCCTTGATGGTCATTCCCCATTCACTATGTGCTTGATTTGCTGGAGGAAACATGTTTGTTAGGTGCTAACCAGTTGAAACACCTATGGAAACAAATAATAAGCTGAGCAGTGATATGGGTGAAGTGTTTGAAGACTTTGGCAGATACTAGTGACTTGTAGGTAAACTAAACTACCTAACCATTACTCGGCTAGATATTTCATTTGCGGTTAGTGTGGTAAGTCAGTTCATGCTGAAACCTCTAGTTCCTCATTGGGATGCGGTTCTAAGAATTGTGAGGTATTTAAAAGGGGTTCCTGGTCGTGGTTTGATATACAAAAGTGGTGGAAAACTTGAAATAAAAGGATATACTGATGCTGACTGGGCTGGTTCTATGTATGATAGGAGGTCTACCACAGGCTATTGCACTTTTCTTGGGGGTAATCTGGTGACATGGAAAAGTAAGAAGCAGACAGTCATGGCGAGGAGTAGTGCAGAGGTAGAACATAGAGCTATGATACATACTACTTGTGAATTAGTGTGGCTAAGGAACCTTCTACAGGAGATAGGATACAATGTTAACACTCCAATGAAGCTCTACTGTGACAATCAGGCTGCAGTTAATATGTCTTCTAATTCGGTGTTTCATGAAAGAACCAAGCATATAGAGGTTGACTGTCACTTTGTGAGAGAGAAGGTGCTGAATGGAGTGATGGACACTTCATATGTTAACACAGGGAACCAGTGGGCAGACTTATTTACTAAAGGGTTGAGTCGGGGAAGAGTGGACTACATATGTAACAAGATGGGATTATATGATATATAGTCACCAGCTTGAGGGGGAGTGTTAGTGTCGAGTATGTAGGGGTATTTCTGTCTTTATACTTATGTTGAGGTTGCTGATCTGTAATATTATATTAGAACTAGTGTCCCTCACTTAAGTAAGGGCGCATGTGTCTTTTCCATTATGTTAGTAATATAAAACATGTCTGGCAGGGAATTTTTTCTCTCATTCGAACCAGACTTTTCTTCTCTCCTTTTCTCCTCTTTTCTCTCTCTCTCTTCTTGGCTGTTATCAGACTAACAGAACTCAAGGGCAGGCCGAATCATAATAGGCTGCAATGGCATAGAAACAAATTCCGAAGAGCTTGGGAAACCTTTGAACAGAGGAGTGGTTTGGATAATTCATCAAGTTGGAAGGAAGATGACAACGAAGGAGAGAAGGACCGTGGTGGCTTGTTAAGAACGGAGGAGAGGATTGTGTTCGAGAGACTTGAGGACGACGAAAAAGGAGCAGAGGAGGGGGGATCGGGAGTAACGACGGATGCGAGGGCTCAAGAAAATGAAACAAGAGGCAAGACTGAGAAAGAGGTAATTGGTCAAGCTCAAGATGAGTATTGTGAGGAAGAATCTCTTGGTTGGGATAACCAGGTTAGTCCTTTTAACTTCAAAAATCCTAAAGGAGGAGGTGAAGAGGGGAAGGAAGGGGAGGGCCTGAGTCTGGAAAAAGGTTAGGGAAGGAGGGGGAGGTAAAGGTGCGGTTGGAGAGAGAATTTGAGGAGGAAGAGGTGTGGAATGTGGTTAAGAAAATGAGGGGGGAGAAGGTGCCTAAGCTAGATTGTTTCAATATCGTCTTTTATAAGATGTGTTGGAATATCATAAAAAAAGAGTTATTGAAGATGTTTAGGGAGTTATGGGTGGAGAAGAAGATTGAAAAGTTGGCAAATGTAACCTTCACTTCTCTTATTCCGAAGGTAATGCAGCCAGGGTGAGGGATTTAAGGTCAATAGGCCTTATTTCAAGCCCATATAAAATTATTGCCAAGGTGTTATCTGCAAAGCTGAATGAGGTACTTCATTTGGTGGTGGATCCTACTCAAATAGCATTTGTTCATGGGTGTCAGATTTTGGATGGGGTCTTGATTGCTTGTGAATGTGTAGATGCAAGAATGAGAAGTGGGGAAGGTTGAGTGATTTGCAAAATTGATTTGGAAAAGGTGTATGATCATGTAGAATGTGGTTTTTTGGAAGAAGTTATAAGGAGGATGGGCTTTCGGGAGAAATGGAGAAGCTAGATGTTTGCATTGCATTTCATTGGTGTCCTTTTCAGTTTTGGTGAATGGAGTTTCAACAAAATTCTTTGACACATCGAGGGGATTGAGACAAGGGTATCCTCTCTCCCCTATGCTTTTGTTTTAGTGGTGGAGGTGTTAAGTAAGTTGGTGGATAGAGGGGTGATTTAGGAGCTGCTGGCTGGTTTCAATCTTGGAAATGGGAGGATGACTTTCTCATCTCCAATATGCTGATGATACCTTGATTTTCATGGATGCATCTGTGGAGCAAGCTTATAATATCAGAGATATTCTTGAAAGTTTTCAATTGCTTTTGGGTTTAAAAATCAATCTTAGTAAAAGTGTGATGATTGGGGTTGGAGATATTCAACAATCTATTTTAGATGAATGTGCTAGGGCTTTGGGTTGCCTTATTGGGGATTTCCCTTTTTCGTATCTTGGGCTACCCATCGGGGCTAGGCCAGCTGCTCCATATACTTGGCAACTTGTCTTAGATTGAATTGGACAAAGATTGGCAGGTTGGAAAAGTAAATATTTGTCCTTTGATGGGGCAATCACTCGTAGAAAGAGTGTTCTTTCTAATTTTCCAATTTACTATTTGTTTCTCCTAAAGGCTCCAACTTAGGTGATGGAAGAAATTGGAAGGCTTCAAAGGGACTTTCTATGGAATATAAAGGTGGAGAAAAAGAAATATCACTTGGTTGGATGGTACTTGGTATGTTGGGCAAGGATGGATTCGAGCCGAGCTGAGCCGAATACTTGGCTATTCGAGCTCGACTTGCAGGAATAGTATCAAGCTCGAGCTCGATTCGAGCTAGAGACTTGAATTCGAGCTTGGCTCGGCCCAAGCTCGACTATAAGCCAAGTTTTTTTGAAAAATAAAAATTATATGTATAAAATTATTATTTTTTTAATTGTTTGACAAAAATTTAAGAATTATAAAAATTATTTACTATTATACATAAAAATAAAAATACTATATTAATATAAATATTAATATATATATATATATAATAAAAAAGTATTTATTATATGTACATATGTATGTATACATATAATAAAATTATATGTATGTATATATAATAAAAATTATTTATTTAATACTAGGCTCGCGAGCCTCATGAGCCGAGCTTCATTGGGCTTGAGCTCAGTTCGATTAGCAAACAAGCCTATATATCAAGCTCGAATTTGGCGAAGCTCAGTTTAAACCGAGCCGAGCCAAGCTTTTCACGAGCCAAGTTCGAATAGCTCGTGAAAGGTTTGGCTCGTGGCCACCCCTAATGTTGGGCCAAGAAAGATGGGGGATTGGGAGTGAAAAGGGTGGGAATTTTTAACAAGGCTTTGTTGGGGAAATGGTTTTGGAGATTTGGTAGGGAGAGGGAAGCCCTTTGGAGAAGGGTGGTTGCTTGCAAGTATGGAGTAGTAAACTTTGGGTGGGATGTGAAGGAGGTAAGATCTTCTTATAGGGTGAGCATTTGGAAAGGGATTATGAAATCCAATTCATTGATTCAGCCGTTTCTTTCTTGGAAAGTCGGGAGTGAGTCAAGTTTGAATTTTGGGAAGATAATTTGCTTGGTGTGGAAAGCTTTATGAGTTGTGTCCAAGGCTCTATAACTTAAGGGTCCATTTGGTCCGCGGACAGGATAGGACTAGAATTGGAATTGGAATTGAAATTCCCCGGAACCGGAATCGGAATGACCTATTCTTGATGTCTATTTGGTTCAATTAGGAATCGGAATTGGATTACGATTATTGCTGTTTGGTTCATTGGGAGTTGGAACTGGAATCAACTAAAAATTTTCAATTTTGTATTAGTTTGTTTATTATTTTATTATTATTTAATTAATATTCTATCAAAATATAATTATTGTTTTATTAGTTCTTTGTTATTATTATTTAATAATTAATATCTTAGTATTTATCATTAGTGTATGTATTTTTTGTTAATATATTATTATTTTATTATTACATTAATATTTTATTAATTTATTAATATTTTATTAATTTCTATTATTTTTTTTATCATTTTAAAATTAATTAATATATTATTTTTTTATTAATTTAATTATATTATATTAACATTTTATTTCTTCTTAATTCTTATTATTTAATAAATATTTTCTTTTGCTTTTTTATTATTTTGTTCTTATTATTTTATTAGTGTTTAATAATCAATATCTTAGTATTTATCAATAATTTATGAATATTTTATTAATATGTTATTATATTATTATTACTTTGATAATATTTTTATTAATAATTTATTATTTTATTATTATTTTCTTATTAGTTATTAATATTGTATTAGTTTTATTAAAATAATATATTAGTATTTTTGTTATTAATTTAATTATAATGTAATAATATTTTAATTGTACTTAGTTATTATGATTATTATTAAATAAATAATATCTTTGGTTTTTATTATTAATTTTCTAATATTTTATTATAGTATCATTATTTGATGAATATTTTATGATTATATTAATGATTAATATACTCTTATTTTACTATTATTATCTTATTATTACTTTCATACTATTTTATTATTTCATTCTTAATGTTTTATTATTACTGTAATTATATTGTATTAATTTTTTTATTTATACTTTTTTATTATTATATTTAATAATTAATACTAAAATGTCTGTTTCTTGCAGGCAGCTCGCAACAATGTTCTTCTTGCTGTTCCAGCTCTTCTGTATGCTATCAATAACTATCTAAAATTCATCATGCAGGTATAATCCATATGTACATCTCATATGTGGTTTCCATTTATTATTTTTTTTCCACTTTTTGAAATCATCCATTTATGGTTTGTATTATTGTTTGACTCAATAAAAAAGGTTATGTGCTTTTTCTGTGATTTATGAAGTTTTGATCTATACTTACCTTTTTGCCTTATTCATTGTTTCATGAATTTTAATCATGTTGTTACCTTATGCAGTTATATTTTAATCCTGCAACTGTTAAGATGCTGAGCAACCTGAAGGTATTTCTTGATAAATAATTCGTTGATGGCACTTACTATTTTATGATGCTTGAAATGATGGATTTGGTTACAAAAATTGTTACCATGAAGATAAGCGTGAACAAACAATTCCTCTGCTTCCATAAACCAGATTCATATTCTGCTCTCAAGTTCTTGTAATTGCTTTTATGCTTTTCTGTTATGAGTAGAAGGAAAACGCATCTTCACTATTGATGTATACCTGCAGGGTTTTTTTTGATTTTTACCTTCTATTATAATTATAATGATAGAAGGCTGAGTGTACACTATTTTTTTAGCAGTAATGTTACAGAATTTTAAGGTTAGAAAAAAGGATGTAAAATCTGGATTGTACCGCAAGCACCCCCTACAGCATAAGTTAGCCCAGCTACTGAAACTCTTTTTTCACATTTGCTTAAGTTACAGGTTACACTCCTAGGAAGTCACTCCCCAAATTACTTCAGTCTTGGTAATTCCTTCTTTTGCCAATGGATCAGCCATAGCATTCATAGAACTGTTGATCCAAGTTAATGTTGTTATCAGCTCCCTATGTCAAGATCCTTGCTTCTCTTGTTAAATGTTTATATTACAGAAGAAAAACAGCCTTTTGAAATGAAAGGACTGTTTAAAATGTTGCAGAGAATCAACAGAAAGTAGCAGAAATCAGGTTTCAAGAAGAGAGAAGAGGAAGAAGAAGGTGGTGGCAACTAGGGTTCAGAGAGATTTTCGAACATATTTTCCTCTTACACCCCTAATACCATTTCATTAAGTTAAACTTATGTAATTTACAGAGAGGCCCCTGGTTGGGCATAAAATTAAAAAACATAACATAAGAAAAATAAGGGCCCAAATTAAGGTCTATTACAGCAAAGAACAAAAAAAGATAAAGAAGGATAAACAGCTTATGGGCCATTCGGCCTATCTTCTCTACACTCCCCCTCAAGCTGAGCATAGATGTCAATCATGCCAAGCTTTTCAGTATCATGCTGAAGTTTAGCCTTGGGAATGCCCTTGGTGAGGAAATCAGCTAACTGTCCTTCAGAAGTGATGACATCCATTGAGACATATCGAGTTCCATTCTTCGGATCAAAACAACAATAACCCTTTTGTGTGGGGGAATAACCAAGGAAGATACACTTGCGGGCTTTTGGTTCAAATTTATGTCTCTGGACACTTGGGATATGTACATAACAAGTGCAGCCAAAAACATAGAGTGGAATAGGAAAAAGGTCCTTGCCTGGATGAAGAAGACTGAAGGGAGACTTGAACCCCAAAAACCCTGGATGGCATACGGTTGATTAGGTAGGTTTTAGTAAGAACATCATCACCCCAAAACCTTGTAGGAACATGTGAGGCAAATAAGATACTTCTTGCAACTTCAACAATATGTCGATTTTTTCTTTCAGCAACTCCATTATGTTCTGGTGTCCTAACACAGGAGCTTTAGTGAATAACCCCCAAGTCAGTGATATAGCAGGTCATGTTTTTCTCAAAGTATTCTTTTGCATTGTTGAATCTGAAAATTTTAATTCTAGTATCAAACTGGATTAGAACAAATTCATAGAATTGCCTCTCAAGTTTGGGAACTTCATCATGGGACTTCATAAAAAATATCTAAGTGAACCGTGAAAAATCATCAATGAACAAGATAAAATATTTGTAGCCACCCATAGAAGGTAAGTGGTTAGGCCCCCACACATCAGAGTGCACAATATGGAATGGAGAACAAGATCTACAATGTTTTGACAACTCACAAGACTCATAATGAAGACTGGACAGACTAATTCCCTTAAACAGTTATGGGAATAAATGACTTAATGCAGAAAAAGAAAGATGACCCAAACAAAAATGACATAACATGACTCGACTGATAGACTCTGTAGATGTAGATCCAAAAGTAGCTTTTCCAGGTTGTTCATGGCTCTATCTAGGAGTGTCCAACAGATATATTCTATTTGCCTCATGGCTACTCCCAATCACTTTCTAAGACTCCAGATCCTGAAAAACACAGTAGGAAGGAAAGAAGGTTACACAACAGTTCAAAGACTTAGTTAGGCTACTTACAGATAACAAATTTGTATTTAGCTTGGGTACATGAAGTGTAGAAGGAAGTACAAAGGATTCTGTAGCCTTGATGGTTCCCTTGTCGGGGATAGGAGCAAGAGAGTCATCGACTAGGGTGATTTTGTCACGACCATGAAGTAAATCATAAGAAACAAACAAAGTGGAAAGGCTGGTCATATGATCAGAAGCACCAGAATCAATAATCCAAGGGATCCTACGGTTACTTGAAATAGTTGCATGATTGGTAGAAGCCCGTATACCTGAATGAGCAAATGCAGAAGAGGTTGAATTTCCTGGAGGGTTGGAAGAAGAGGCCACACCCTCTAGGTGATTAATCATCCTTCCAAACTTCTCATACTTTGCCTTCATAGCTGCTAAGCTCACTAGTAGTCTCCTCTTCAGTTAGGCATCTGTCATTATCTGGACCAACAACAATATTGGCACTCCCTGCCATATAATTAGACTTCTTTTGAAACCGAAGAGGAAGAAGCTTAGGATGCAATTTCCAAAACTTGTCTTTAGTGTGTTTTGGTTTTTTACAATACTCACAAATAATTTCTTTCTTCCCTGAGCCACTTGGAGTTCTTGTAACTCCCTTAGGTTTTACTCCCATATTAGCAAAAGTGGTCATTTAGACCAGCCCTTTGAACCTGGACAAGTCTCCTGCTTTCTTCACTACTTACCAAGGCATAGGCTTGAGACAGTGAAACACTATCCTTGGATAAGATATTTTGCTTTGTGATGTCATACTCTAGATTCAGCCCTATCAAAAACTCAAACACCCTATTTCTCTCAACAAGTTTCTTGTAGGTCTCAACATCATTAGTGATGTCTCAGGCTACAACTTCTATCAAATCAATTTCTTGCCATAGAGACTTCAATATTGAGAAATAAACAGCTAAAGGTTTCTCCCCCTGTCTCAAATTCTTCACATCACTCCTTAGCTTGTAAGCCTTGGGAATAGGTTTCAACAACACTATCCCAAATTTCCTTTGCTGAATTCATCCACAACTTCAAATAACAATAAATGAAGATAGAAGAAAACCTATGTTGTACCTGCTACCTATGTCACACCCGGAACCCCGAACAAATAGAGAAATCTCAGCCGCACCTTGTAGACTTCCAAAACACCAATCCACTTGAATCGAACTTCAAGATGAAGGAAAAGAAGACTATTAGTCACTGAGTGCCCAGGTCAAACTCCCTATGGGGCCCGTAATCAAATTTTTTCAGAAAATTAGGGTTTTGGGCAACACACTTGAATCTGTCAGGAGGACAACAAAACCAGTCCCCTTCTCTCCAAAAACCACTAACAACTAGGCAGAAACAGGTTTCTTTAACTATTCATCCGATTCAGTTCTCCGTACACATTGTGTATGGGAGAAAAAAGGTGAAAAGAGAAGAAGACGAGCTTGCTTTGATACGAAGAAGAAAAACAGCCTTTTGAAATGAAAGGACTGTTTAAAGTGTTGCAAAAAATCAATAGAAAGTTGCAGAAATCAGGTTTCAAGAAGAGAGAAGAGGAAGAAGAAGGTGGCGGCAACTAGGGTTCAAAGAGAGATTTTCGAACATAATCTCCTCTTACACCCCTAATCCTATTTCATTAAGTTAAACTTTTGTAATTTATAGAGAGGCCCCTGTTTGGGCATAAAATTAAAAAACATAACATAAGAAAAATAAGGGCCCAGATTAAGGCCCATTACAGCAAAGAACATAAAAGGATAAAGAAGGATAAACAGCCTATGGGCCATTCGGCCCATCTTCTCTACAATTACCATTAGTGTATGCTTTTTTTCAAACCATCAGACTACAACCCATAGTCACCTTCTACAGTTCTACCATTACATCTCATAGTTGATATTTCACCCAGTCTTAATCTGTGTAGAACTTCCAACAACTCAGCCCTAGATGAGTCTCTTTAATTGGACCAGAATAAATTGGCAACATAACACCTTCACTATTTCTGAATCTCCCATACTCCTGAGCAGATGTTTCCACATGGCTAGTAGGTGACTAGGCGTTATTTATGTGAGAATGCAGTGGAGAATGTCTATCATTTCTTTATTGGTTGTCCCTACTCTAAATTCATCTGGGTTTTTGTTCTTGGCTCTCTTTAAAGATAGCTGGATGGACCCTGGTTTGGCAGAGGAATTATTCACTAGGTGACCAGCTATAAGGGGAAATATCAAGGCAAAGATTGCTTGGAGCTGCATTCCCTTTGGTGTTTGCTGCGGAGTATGGAAAGAAAGAAGTAGGAGAATCATTGAAGATAATTCCCGTTCAAGAGACCGTATCACTCTTCTTTGCAGTAAAAGGGTCATGAATTGAGTTCTCATTCCTCCAGAGTTTGAGGGGGTTTCAAAAGAAGATCTTGGTGCTGTTTTTTGGAATCTCCTTGAGTTGGTCTAGAGTTACAGTCTTCCTTTTTTTTTTGGTTATAGTCTTTCTTTTTATTTGTATCCTATCTTCATGTACCTCTCTGTATTTCTTGGTGATCTCTCATCACCCTCAGTTGTACTTTCTTCTATTATTAATATTTTTTTCTTTTCTATTTATTGCCAAAAACAAAACCCTCAGGATTTAGTTTTATTGGATTGTTTTAGGGTGGTATCCATCTCAGTGTTTCCATGGTCCTGAATAACGATGAAACAACAATTGCTTGCCAGCCCCTAGTGATATCTTCTGTAGAAAAATGTGCAAACTACTTCAATATCTTGACCCAATTGAGATATCTCTCATCTCTGTAATTTTCTCTCTAGTTTGGTTCTTATCAGAGAAAATTCTTGCAGTTCTCTCCCCCCACATTGATCATTGTATTGTTGTCCTTGTGCATCTCCATAAACCATTTCCTCTTTTCTTTGGTCGAGAGAAGAATGAGTCCTCAAAAGAAGTTGGACTTCCACTGTGGTGTCCATTTGTAACTGTTGTAATTCTTCCAC